CTTCTCCGATAAAGAAAACAATGCCCGACCTGAAGAATTTGGAGCAAATGATTCAGCAGAGGAAACACAGCCCAGAATAACTAAGGAGATAGTACAAGAATACTTGGCTAGTTTAGATGTATTCAAGTCTCCAGGGCCAGATGAACTGCATCCAAGAGTATTAAAAGAACTGGCAGATGTGATCTCAGAACCACTGGCAGTCATCTTTGAGAATTCCTGGAGAACAGGCGAAGTCCCGGCAGACTGGAGGAGGGCAAATGTTGTCCCTATTTTCAAAAAGGGGAAAAGAGAGGACCCAAATAATTACCGCCCAGTCAGTCTGACATCAATACCAGGGAGGATTCTGGAGCAGATCATTAAGCAAACAGTCTGTGAGCACCTAGAAAGGAATGCTGTGATCACCAATAGTTAGCATGGATTTCTGAAAAATAAGTCATGTCAGACTAACCTGATCTCGTTTTTTTTGACAGAATTACAAGCCTGGTAGATGAAGGGAACGCAGTGGATGTAGCCTACCTTGATTTCAGCAAGGCATTTGACAAGGTGCCCCATGATATTCTTGTAAAGAAGCTGGTAAAATGTGGTCTTGACTATGCTACCACTCAGTGGATTTGTAACTGGCTGACTGACCGAACCCAAAGGGTGCTCATCAATGGTTCCTCTTCATCCTGGAGAAGAGTGACTAGTGGGGTGCCATAGGGTTCTGTCTTGGGCCCGGTCTTATTCAACATCTTTATCAACGACTTGGATGATGGACTCAAGGGCATCCTGATCAAATTTGCAGATGACACCAAACTGGGAGGGGTGGCTAACACCCCAGAGGACAGGATCACACTTCAAAACGACCTTGACAGATTAGAGAACTGGGCAAAAACAAACAAGATGAATTTGAACAGGGAGAAATGTAAAGTATTGCACTTGGGCAAAAAAAAATGAGAGGCACAAATACAAGATGGGTGACACCTGACTTGAGAGCAGTACATGGCAGGAGTCTTGGTTGACCACAAACTTGGCATGAGCCAACAGTGTGACGCGGCAGCTAAAAAAGCCAATGCAATTCTGGGCTGCATCAATAGGAGTATAGCATCTAGATCAAGGGAAGTGATAGTGCCACTGTATTCTGCTCTGGTCAGACCTCACCTGGAGTACTGGGTCCAGTTCTGGGCACCACAGTTCAAGAAGGACACTGACAAACTGGAACGTGTCCAGAGGAGGGCAACCAAAATGGTCAAAGGCCTGGAAACGATGCCTTATGAGGAACGGCTAAGGGAGCTGGGCATGTTTAGCCTGGAGAAGAGGAGGTTAAGGGGTGATATGATAGCCATGTTCAAATATATAAAAGGATGTCACATAGAGGAGGGAGAAAGGTTGTTTTCTGCTGCTCCAGAGAAGCGGACACGGAGCAATGGATCCAAACTACAAGAAAGACGATTCCACCTAAACATTAGGAAGAACTTCCTGACAGTAAGAGCTGTTCGACAGTGGAATTTGCTGCCAAGGAGTGTGGTGGAGTCTCCTTCTTTGGAGGTCTTTAACCAGAGGCTTGACAACCATATGTCAGGAGTGCTCTGATGGTGTTTCCTGCTTGGCAGGGGGTTGGACTCGATGGCCCTTGTGGTCTCTTCCAACTCTATGATTCTATGATTCTGTTTATGAATTTAATTCGTTCTGAAGGTCCGTTCTTAACCTGAAACCACTCTTAACCTGAGATACCACTTTAGCTAATGCGGCCTCCCGCTGCCGCCACCGCGCGATTTCAGTTCTCATCCTGGGGCAAAGTTATATGTTGATGGCCAGGTTTTTTTGTTGCTTAAGAATTAATTAACTGCTTCAATATGGTCTCTGAGGCTGTAAAAGTTGCTGGTCCGTAGATGGTGGTTAGCAAGTGTTTTATCGGGTGATATTGCCATTGAACATTTGTAGCTAATCTATATTTGTCTCTTAAAATGGAATATTTTTAAAATTCAACTTCTTTGTTTATCAACTGGTCTAATGTTAATATACCCAAATTCATCCACCCCTTCCATGCGACCATTTCTTTCCCAATTTTTAAAGACAGATTTTCCCACTAAGTCATTTTGTCGTGGGAGAAAAGGTCAGATTTATATTTTTTGGACATGTGGTGCCATATCGTGGGAACGGATGTTATTGTTTCAATAGCATCTTGAGTATTAATGTATTAAGACCCAAGTGCTGCCCATCTTTCTAAAGGTGCTGCATAAGAATATTCCAAATTGGGCTGCTTTTGACAGTTGTTTTCAGTTGTGGGTCTCCAGAATTGTGTACCTGACAGTAAATATGCTTGGTGATACAATTCTAAATCTGGGGTCGCCGCCAATACCTTCAAACCTGTAACTAATCCCTAGTCCCTGCTAGGATGTCCCCCAGCCTGCAAGCAACCCCTAATCCCTGATATGATGTCCCCCAACCAAATGTCGTTTCCAGCATCTGACAGATGCACGCCATCAAATCTGTAGAGGGCCTCATTGCTGAACAGGGTGGCTTATAACACACCCTCCCAGGGCCGCCACTATATGCGCCTCAACCCACTCCAAAACTTCTTGCTCTATTGATTGCAACTGGGCACAAGCTATCCCTCCATGTCCGCCTTTCAAGCAATGAGGACCACAAGATGGTAATGTTGGGATAAACCGCCAATAAATCAGCAAAGTCATCGAAGATGTTCCATCTTAAGTCTATAGCTTTACGATATGCTAAATCATTCTCCCCCAACTGGATAACCAGGGCATCGGGTGGGCCCTCCGAGGTGGCTCTAGCCATCACAGCTGGCTTGAATTCAGCCCAGTGCATCCCTCTTCGCGCAATCCAAGCCACATCAATATTTGGAGGTAAATTCAAGCTTTGCCCCAATCCAGTGCTCATGGCACGATTCTTTGCCCAATGCACAATGCTGTGGCCCACCAGCCAAATGCAGACCCTCTTGTGATCTGGAAAGGAAACGGAAAGACAAACCGAGGTCAGGAAACAAGTAGTTAGTCACAGATTTTTTCTAACATAGGCTTTATAAGCATCAGACTTCCAACGACTCATGTCCTTTATTCTCTCAGTTGAGAGCCCGAGGTGTACTGCAGTGGTAGTGGCCCCGATCCGGAAGGAGTGAGCCGCAAATTCTGCCACAGGCAGACCGCATGTTGCAAGTGCCAGGCGCATAACACAGGTGAACTGGTGCCTGCCCAAGAGTGAGCTATCCTCGTGTATTAAGAAAGGGCCGGGGTTGTTGGGTCTCAAATAAAGGAAATGCCGCGTATCCCTAACTGGGCAAGGTCCACTCCCTTGAGCTGCTGGTATGCGAAGGAGGGCATACGAGCCAGAGCATCCGTGATGTCATTATTAATGCCAGGAACAAATTTGGCGGGAAAATATACATTCTGCTCAAGGCACAAGAGAACAAAGGACCGTAGAAGGTTTCCCACTCTGGTGGAACGTGCGGACTGTCTAGAAAGAACCGATACTACTGCCTGGTTATCTGTATTAAAACAAACCCTATGATTGCGGAAATGCCCCGCCCATAAATGTACTGCCACCACAATAGGGAAAAATTCCAAGAATGTAAGGTCCCGAGTAATGGGCTTGCCTTGCCAGTCTGCGGGCCACTTTTGAGTGCACCACTGTCCCCTGAAATAAACGCCAAACCCCAGGGAACCTGCCACATCAGATTGGACTTGCAAGTCAGCATTGAGCGCCGTGATGTCTTGCCATAGTGATATCCCGTTATACCTGTCCAGGAATTCTAGCCAGACTCCCAGGTCAGACTTGACTTCCTTGGAGAGGCGCACCCTATGCTGGGGTGCCCGCAGACCCGCTGAAAATCTAGCCAGGCGGCCACAAAAGGGCCGGCCTGGCGCCACCACCCTACAGGCGAAATTTAGGTGACCTAACAAAGATTGAATTTGCCTAAGGGTAACCTTCTTTAGAGGCAGAAGCTGTTGTATCAATGTCTTGAGGGCGCCCAGTTTCTCCCCGGGCAACCTAGAAGTTTGGGCTACAGTGTCTAATTCAATGCCCAGATAGACCAGTGATGTGGCTGGGCCCTCCATTTTGTCAGCAGCCAGCGGTACTCCCAGCTCCTCCACCAGGGTTGAGAATGCCTCCAGAAGGGCAGAGCATTGCTGCCTATTAGCCGCGACCAGAATAAAGTCGTCCAGGTAATGCAATACCCCGACCGACCCTGTCTTGATGCGCAGGGCCCAATCCAGAAACATACTGAAAGACTCGAATGCAGAGCATGCCACGGAGCAGCCCATGGGCATCGCTTTGTCAATGAGGTACGCCCCCTCCAATTCAAACCCCAACCAGCAGAAATCATTTGGATGCACGGGCAGGAGGCGGAATGCGGACTCGATGTCGCATTTTGCGAGAAGTGCTCCTTTTCCAAATCTACAGATCATTTTTCTGCCTGATCGAAGGAGGCGTATTTCACAGTACAAAGCTCCTGAGGGATCGCATCATTGACAGAATCACCTCTTGGGTAAGAGAGGTTGTGAATCATGCGAAACTCGCCCGGTGCCTTTTTTGGGACGATGCCCAGAGGGGATATGTGCAGCCCCTCCAGTGGTGGCTCAATAAAGGGACCTGCAACCCTCCCTGCCTCGATTTCTTTCTGTATCTTCTTTCTAGCTATCTCAGGCCTTTCTCTTACTGATTTTTGATTTTGGGGGTCTGCGGTGTTAGGGGGAAATGCTACTGGAATTCTAAAACCCAAGGAGAACCCATCCCAAAGGTATTCTGCCGCTTTTCTATCAGGGTATAGGTCTAGTAGGTTTTTAAGGGGGTGGAGTCGGATAGGGGAGAAGGCAGGTCCAAGAGACATGTTACTGGCAGTTACTGGGACCCTGGTGGGAAGATCCGGAGGCACCCCTAGCATTGTTGTTGAAGTACCCCCTGCCGCCCCGAAAGGCCTGCTGTTTGGCCTTAAAGCATGCAGAGGCAGGGTGGTTCCCCAGGCACCGTTCGCATGCGTGGAGATACTTACAGGAGGGTCAGGAACATACGCCCCTGTTATACTCCGAGCACTGGCGCCGCCGTTTTGCTTCTGTCTTACCCGACTTGACCAGTTCCTGTTTCTTCTTTTCTATGTAAGGGCCCACGTCCTCACCCCAGTAATTTGGGTCCCAGCGAGTGGAGGGTAGAAGAGAAGCATTTCTACGAAAATTCTCATCATACGTTAATGCCGCGGTCTCACCAGCCAGCGTATGAGCCCGCCTCACATGAGCCAAATAAGCAACGAGATCCATAGCTCGCCTGAGATAAGCCACGCAAACTACTCCCATAAAGACCTGGAACCCGTCCAACCAGTTGTCAAAGGTGCGTTCGGCCCTGGGTGTTCTGTATTTACGCTTACCAAAAGGGAGCTTCTTTTCCCCTTTCCCAGTTAATTTGGTAGGCGGGAGGAGAGTGAATATATCCACATAGTCGCCATTGAGGATCTTATTCCTCTTCTTCTGGGACAAATGATTCCCTAATATAAAATCTGTAGACAAATTGATGGAAATTTTTACGTCTTCCACCAGCGCTCCCTCCTTCCACGCTAATGTTCCATTGAGCGTCTTACGGTGTGAATTGGCTCTTCTTTCATGCACCCATAAAGGAAGCCCATGATTATCCTCACCAAAACCCCAGTACCCTTCCATAGCTCCCTCACCATCGGAATCCGAGGAAGACGTACCTGACTCATCTTTAGTATCAGACTGCTTACTTCTTTTCTTCTTTGCCGACGTGTGCTTCCTTTTGGATTTCCTTTGCCCCCTTGCGCCTCGCTGCTGGCCTGGTTCGTATTGGCAGCCGCTGGGGCGATTTGAGGCGCCAGCTGCTCTGCCTCTGAGCCGGAACTCGAGCCCTCTTCAGTTGAACTGTGCTGAGTTGGCTGTTCCTGAAAAATTCTGGGAATACTTACATCCTGTGACAAAGAATTGCTGCTGGCCCCCTTCGCAGGTGCATTTCCCTTGCTGGTACCCTTTGCGGGTGCCTTACTTTTACTTGCGCCCAAGCTGGGTTTCTTAGAAGTGACTGACTGAGAGCGTGTGGGGGGGCGTCCGGGTGCGGGGTTATCAGGTAGAACACCGCCAGACGTGGAAGCCGGTGTGCCAGGATGTTCCTGGCTGCCAGAGAAGGTATCGGGTATGACATCCTGCGATGGTTCTGGCGCTGGCAGAGCCAGGACCCTCGGCCTACATTGCCTATAGAATGTTTTGAAAGCGGTGAAAAATTGGGCAAATGCTTGAGGATCGCATGGCATAGTGGGGAATTGGGTGCCACCACTGCTTGTGGAAGGAGACTGCTGATTTCCTTCGGAAGCCATCCTGCTATACTAGCAACGCGCTTTGAATTGGAATACCTAAAGCTCAGTATTGTTTACAAGGCTGACAAAGGTCAGTGTTGTCAACCCAAGGGTTACCCCTAAAGGGAGGGTGCAAGAAGTTGCAGCCAAGGCAGCTGGGACCTTTTGAGGTAACACAGCACGTGAAACCTGTGGCATTCAAGCTCAAGTTGCCTGACAGCATGAAGATACATCTGGTGTTCCATAGGTCCCTACTCTCACTGTACAGGGAGGGACGGGAATTTCCAGGGTGGGCGGGAGGAGTCACCACCCACCCACGGGTAGAGGAGAGGGAACACCACAACCAAGCCACAGAAATACTCGATTCAAGGTGGTGAGGGCGCCAGGTGGAGTACTTGGTAGCTTAGGAGGGAGAACCCGGGTCAGAAAACATGTGGGTCCCCGCTGAGGTGATCAATGACGGGTATCTAGTGGAAGAATTCCACAGCCTGTTCCCAGATAAACCAAAACCACTAGCGAGATTCTGGGAGGAAGAATTTGGAACCACAGACGACGAAGAGGACTTTGTGGGTTTTCCTGCCTCTGAAGAGGAGGGAGGGGAGGTATCAGAGGGAGAAGAATCAGACTGGGAGGCCCACCCCACGGCAAGAGTTCGGAGCGGGTGGGAAGCGGGTTTTGAATCCTCGGAGGATGGCGACAGCTCCTTCAGGGGATTCCCCGCATCGTCGGCCAACGAAAGGGACGAGGTTAGATCAGAAGGTCGGGCCGGGGGTGGAGGGGGTCCTGGGGGGGAGGTGGATGTCAGGGAACTGCCATCGGAGCTAGAGGCGGAGGGAAGGCTCCAAAGGGATGCCGGAGAGGGTCCCAGTAGGGAGAGAGGCAGCCCATCTGCTGGGGAAGGAAATCAGCGTAACACCAGTGGAGAAGGGGGGCAGATGGGGGAATCGGAGAGGAGGCTCCAAGACTCCTCGCTGGAGACCAGCGGAGAGAGTACGGGTCCTCCGCTGCCCACACCCTCCCTGCGCAGAAGGCTTCCGCGCAGGGAGACTAGGCGGAGACTAGGCGTCAAAGAACTTTTGTGCTGGAAGAAGTTCAAGAAACACCCACTGGCGAATTCTGCCAGCGACTGAGACAGCCACGAAGCTAGAGGCTGTCCAGTCAGAAAGGGTTCAACCAGGTAACCTAGCCAGGAGTGGCGGCAACTTACGCACGAGCAACCCCTAAACCCATTACAGCGAGGAGGGACAAATTGCTGCGGAAGGAGCGTCCCGATACGCGTACGTTACCCTTCCTGCACCCGCCGTCGGAAACGAGGACGCTCTCCACTCTGTACCGTAGCCTTCTCCTCCGCATCCTCCTCGATAGATCCAAGGACCAGATGATTTCCGGTAAGACCAGACAAATTTCCGGGGGAAAACGAACTAAGGTAAAAGAACCTCCACCACCAATCACTCCCACCACCTTTTTGCCGCCGGCAGCCCGCGCACAGCACACACAGTGATTTCAGCTTGCACAGAGACCGAAGTCTCTAAAGTTATTTTAGCTCAAATAAGTGGCAAGGTCGGACAAGAGGCAAAGGTGGTCCACGATGGTGTGAAGACGCCAAAAATGAAGTCAAAACTGGGGCAGCTGAAAACCGGGGCAGCTGGAACGGGGCAAAGAGGGTGGTCCCCGGGCACGCCAGCCTTAAATGCACTAGGCCATGCCTCCCCGGCCCAGCGATTGGCCGGCCGGGTCGGTGACACACCTGAGGATTCCCTTACTCTCGCGAGGGCTAAGAGCCAGCCCCCGCGTGTGTGGGAGGGGGTGGGCCCACAACCCCACCATCTCTCCAGCTCGGAAGTGGATTTCCGCCAGAAGGGAATAGAACACAGGTTGACAGTTCCAGACAGTCCCCAACAGAATGGCGTTGCAGAACAGAACGCTGCAGGAAATGTCCGCAGCGTTGCTGTTTGATGCCGGGCTCCCCCAGCGCTTTTGGGGGGAATCTTGGAAGAATGCCAATTTCACACTGAACAGGTCATTCAACTCTGTTGTTAGAGGACATGCCCTATTTTCTGCTGCACGGCAAGAAGCCCGAGGTGCATTTCTTCCGTGTATTTGGCTGTGAGGCTTGGGTCCTTGTGCCAAAGGCCAAACACAGATAAGGTGGCCCTAGGTCCCAAAAGATGATTTTCTGTGGGTATGAGCCAGGAACCAAGGGGTAGAGATTTGCCTATCCAAAAGGCAATCAGTCCAGGCTTCTGCTCAGCAGCAGTGATGAATTCTGTGAGCAGAATGGGTGGATACGCATACATGGGAACCCTGATGTTCTTTCAGAGAATCTGCTTGACTCTGCTGATGAGGAAGACGTAGAGGTTGAACCTGCTGCTGTGGCACAGAGTCCCAACCCAGAGCAGGTAGAGGGAAGAATTTCTCCTAAAGCTGTGAAGCTTGAACAGAGAAGTGCTTCTTCTTCGCCCACAGGTTCAGCTGGGAAGTCTAGACGGCACAGTAAGTCAGAGGGAGAGCTCTCTGATGCCAAGGACGTTCCAGCTGGCCCTAGTGGGTCAGAAGGGGTACCTGAAGCTGGGTTGAGATGTTCAGCTCGCACAACGAAAAGTAAACCTCCTGACAGATTTGCAGTCACAAGTATGTGGGTTGGTATGGCACAGTGTGAACCTGAGAGTTTTGAGGATGTTCAGAAACTGCCTCAGGAAGAAGCCAGGAAATGGCATGAGACAATGCAGAAGAAAATGAGCTCAATGAAGTATCTAGGTGTGTTCTCCTTCACGACGTTGCCAGTGGGCAAGTAGGCCGTGAGCAGCCGCTGGGTTTACCGTCTTAAACCCACAGCAACTGGAGAACCACAGTACAAGGCTAGGTTAGTAGTCAGAGAGCTCACACAGCAGAAGGGGCTGCATTACACTGAGGTGTATGCTCCCACTTCCTGGAGTGAAACTCTGTGCATGCTCTTAGCCATTGCTGCACAAAGAGGTTTGCTGGTGCATCACTTTGATGTGGATGTGGCCTATTTGAACTCAGACCTCCAGGAGGATCTGTACATGCTTCTTCCTCCAGGGTTTGAGGGCAATGAGCCAAACGCTGTATGGAAGCTTCACAAGTCTATTTATAGTTTGAAGCAATTGGCCAGAAATTGGAACTTAGAATCATAGAATCATAGAGTTGGAAGAGACCACAAGGGCCATCGAGTCCAACCCCCTGCCAAGCAGGAAACACCATCAGAGCACTCCTGACATATGGTTGTCAAGCCTCTGCTTAAAGACCTCCAAAGAAGGAGACTCCACCACACTCCTTGGCCGCAAACTTGTGCCTGAATGAAGCCTTAGAGAAGCTAGGTAACAGGAAGAGTCTTGCTGACAGCTGCCTGTACCTTAATGGGTCAGGAGAGTCACAGGAAATGATGTTAGTCTTTGTTGATGATATCATATATGTCTCAAGGGCACACAAACAGGTGCAGAAGTTTGCCAAAGAGCTTGGAAAACAGTTTCAGCTCAAGAACCTGGGTGCAGTAAAGATCTACCGAGGTGTGCAGATAGACAGGACTGAAGATGGAAGCTTCTTGCTCAGTCGGAGAGGCAAGATTGAGCAGTTACTTGTGAAGTTCAGAATGTCTGATTGTGCAGGAGTTAGGACACCCATGGAGACAAGCTATGTGAAAGACAGCCAGCTAGCAGAACGTGCTGAGTTCGAGAATGCTGACCTCTTTCAGTCAGCTCTGGATAGTCTGTTGTATCTGTCCCAATGGAGCAGGCTGGATATTGCTTTTGCTACCAATCTGCTCAGTAGGGAATCTACAAAGCCCAGTGTAAACGCCTGGCATGGTGTCAATCGGGTGCTGTGTTAACTGCAGGATACCAAGGACTTCAGTCTCAAACTGTCAGCTGCAGGTGAGACGAAGCTCACGTGCTGGGCAGATAGCGACTGGGCAAATCTGGATGACAGGAAGTCCGTGTCTGGGATGGTAATAAAGTTTGGGGAATCTCTTGTTGGGTGGAAGTCCCGGAAGAAAGTCACATTGCGCTGTCCTCTACTGAAGCTGAGTTCAGCGCACTGTTGGATTTGTGCCGGGAACTGGAGTTCTATAGATGCCTGGTGCAAGAGATCTGTGGGAATTGTAGCTTGCCCATCACTGTTTGGGAGGACAATCAACCCTGTCTGAAGTTGGCAGAATCTGGGCAGTTTAAGGCCAGAACCAAGCATCTAGACATACGTTTCCAAAATGTGTGTCAAAGTGTCCAGTCAGGTTTAATAAGGCTGAAGTACCATGTGAGCCATGATAACTTGGCAGATGGGTTTGAAGGAATGGGTTTCTGTGTAGTAAGTTTAAAAACGGACTCAACCCCCCCTTTTGTTCTTTCAAAAGAGAGCACTTTTAAATGCGTAAAACTTGAACTGTTGAGCAAAACCATAATAAGGACACAACTGCATAAACAGTTCTGTCCTTTATCAGGACAGGCAAGGGATGGCCTTGGCTCTCCAGGGGAACAAAGAAAACATGTCAGAACTTTATCTTATGTGCTGACCACAAAATATGCGCAAGACCAATGTCCGGGAAAAACGCCAAAAGCGTGTTCCCGGAGATTATGACGTCTTCCCAGATAAGAGTAGGAAAAGGAAGATCCTTTTATGGTCAGAAGTACAGGAAGGAAGATCCTTTTATGGTTGAGAGTACCAGAGCAGGAACATATGTGATGTCAACCTGTGTACGTAGGCCGACGTGGTTGGACTCCTAGGGGAGGAGTGAGAGGGTGCCTGGAGGATATATAAACTGCATGAAACTTGTCATTTCTTTGGACTTGCTGTGGACTCACCACGCAAGTGCCTTCTGCTATCCAGAGAGCAGAATAAACTCTTTCTTTGAACCAACTCGATGTCATTTTGACTTCCTTCCTCCTGTCCCGGAGCAACGCAGACCCAATCGGTGAACTCCAAAAAGGCTACAGGTTCACTAAACCCTTGAGCTTCCAGCATCATGGGGAGTTCTGTGGTGGTTTGAAGTTGGGGTAAGTGGTGATACT